AAACCTATTGAGCTCACATGTGGAGATGTAATCTGCCTTCAATGCTTTAATTTACAAAAAGATTAAGTATAAAATTAGCAAATACAATGTCCCTTTGATAATAGTCACCTATGTGAAATTGAACAACCAATTAGATCACCAATGTATTTACTATGAAATCTAGAATTCAACGATTGATGCATAGAGAGAGCTTTGAGTAATTTTAATAGTCAAATAAAGAAGAATAGAAATAGGATAAAAGAAAATATAGAAAGCAATAAATTGCTTAAAACATGGTTAATAAGCATGATGACGACTGTCAAATAAGATTAATAATTAATAGAATTTATCCCAACCGTCGAAATTCAGAAAACTATTCAGTATTAAATGAAATTAGGCATAATATCCTTACCAAACTTAATTTAGATATTTTGGCAAGAGGTGATCCTATTTAAGAATTAACAAGTCTAGATAAAATAATGTACTAAGAATTTAGAAGACTAGTTGATAAATAATTTTAAAATTCAAAGATTATTCCATCAAAACTAATACCAGTAATTGGAAAAGCTTCGTTGATATACAAGGCTACAGTTGATGGATTTAATTCAATTGATTTTCACAAAAAATGTGATAATTAAGGGAATACAATTTCATTTATCTTGAGTGAATATAATCAAGTCTTTGGATGTTACACATCTAAATCTTGGTAATCTCCTGAAAACGTTCAATAAGTTGAAGATAGTGAAGCATTTATTTTTTCTCTGACTAAAAATACAATCCATAGATAATATCAGAACTCTGAGTATGCAGTTGAACATAATAAAGATTGGCTCACAGTGCTTGGATATAACGATGATATAGCCATATAAAGTGATTGCAATTAAAATATGGATAGTTTTTGTGGTCTAGGTGGTACTTTTATACCGCCTACAGGTTATTATTAAGATGATTAGGAATCAAAGGTATATTTAGCAGGAGCTTTAAAATTTAGAGTGATCGAGATAGAAGTGTATCAAGTTATTAAGTGATGAATTTATGAATGCAGTAATGGATAATTAACATTTAACAGTTTAATATGATATTAATATTTTATTAAGTTTATCTATTAGTTATTATTCTCAAATCTATTAATATAACTTATTCTTGGGGTTTTGGGGTTTTGGGGTTTTGGGG